AAAGGAAAATTTTGAAAGTTATAGGACACAACAAAATGCATGCACATATTTTTTTTCGGTGGGTGCAACACTCTCTGCTCCGGCACGCAGTCTTAAATCACTCGCAGCTCAGGGGGGCCGGCCGGGCGGTGCCTCCTCAAAAAGACATCAGCCGAGGAATATGTTGTACCAAGCAGCCGAGTCGGAGGAGGAGGAGGAGGAGGAGGAGGAGGAGGAGGAGGAGGAGGGGAAGACGAGGAGGAGGAGGAGGAGGAGGAGGAGGAGGAGGGGGAGGAGGACTGGGCAGGGAGGGCAGCACCCGCGACGACGCACTCTGGCCGCTGGCGGCAAGGAACAGGAAAAACGATCCGGCCGCACAACCCTTTGGCGAGGGCCGGCTTTGAGGAACTGGCGCCAACGTCAGAGTGCAGTGAACAAAGAAACAACAACAAAATAAGTAAAAAACGTAAAATGTTAAAAATCAAACTCAATGACCCCGGCCGCGGGTCGAGGCGCCACCGCCCGCCCCACGGTTCTGGACCTGTTTCTCAAGTTTGCCGCAGCTGGGCCGGCAGCGCGCGCTGGAGCTGGAGCTGGAGATTATAAGCGCCGCCACACGACTCTCCAAACAGGGAGAGCAGAACGGGACGATCAAAGCCCCCACCATCCCCCTCTCCGTCTTTCTTTCACTCTCTTCCTCTTTGCCGTCCGTCCGTCCCGTCCCGCAGCCCGTGTGCCAGTCGGTGCAAGTGCCCCTGAGAGAGGGGTGGGGTGGGGTGGGGTGGGGCGGGGCAGGCTGAATCACTACAAAATTATGCACGGCGCGATTCCCCTTTACAAAGGCAGGCCTGGGGTGTAATAGAATCGACAGTAAGCTCCCGCCACCGCGCCGCTCCTGGGGTAGAGGGGGGGGGGGGGGGCAAGGGACACAGTCGGACAAACACGCAGCGCCCGCCAAGGCCTATACAGGACCTACAGCACCAGTGATTCGATTGTCCTCTCTCTCTCTCTCTCTCTCTCTCTCTCTCTCTCTCTCTCTCTCTCTCTCTCTCTCTTTCTCACTCTCTCTCTTTTACATTTTATTCCTCCGGTAGTACGCGGGCTAATACCGTGAGCCAGCATCGGATTGAGATTTTTCGTTCTCTGATTTCCACTCCACCAATAACATAAGCCCCCATCCCCCACCCCGCTTCCTTGTTCACGGAGAG